TCGAATCGTGAAATCAGAATCGTGAGTTGAGTGAATAGTTACATCCCGAATTCTTGCTGAATAAAAGTTTTATATATTAACCCAAAACTTTTGCACAGAAGGATACCATCACCAGCAAAGTGCATACATACAATACGCAGAATTAGTATGTGATTTGGAACGCAGCTGCAATTTTAAGTTTCTGTTTCAATCTGTACTTGTCTAGAGGAGATGTACTTCATCTGTCTGTAGTTTGCCCCGTGAGCGTGAACTAACATACTGCTGCAGTTTGGTCTGATGTAGTTCTTTTGTAATGTGTGTTGCACTGAATAGCGCGCTTTCTGTTGCGTGCTGTAGAGCAGTGTCTTGTTTTCAATGGTGAGTTGTGTGTTGCATGTCGTAGTGAGCTGTGAAGTGTGTTGTGCTGAATAGTGAGCAGGATGCAAACAACAGCCGCAGCCCTTCACTCCCACTTTAAGAGCTTGTCACCATTACCACGGCAACAATACGGCCCCAGAGCGTGGTTAAGATGCCCGGACGAAACCGGAGATAAGGAGGAAGGATGAAGAGGAACTATAGGCTTTGAGAGCTGCTCTTATCTGTGGAGAGAGACGGACGAAAGGGTGAGAGGGAGAGATAGAGCGAAGTCTCAGGGCTTATGGGTGGTGTAAATGTCACCGATGGACTTCTTTCAGCACCTCACACAGATCTACTCTTGAGAGAGATGGGAGTGTGTGTGTATTTGTGGCAGTGTCAACACTAGTAACTGTTGGTGGATGGGTCTGCCTGGCTGTATCCCTGTTTGTCCTAAATAGTATGCAAGATTAAAATTGTAAGTGCTCTGATTTATTTATTTTTTTAATGCTTTTTAGACATTTGTGACAGTCTTTCAATTTTATTTTTTTTACTTGTAGAAAATTGGCAGATGTTTTTTCTATGTATGAACCTAGAAGCTATTTATGAATTTTAAGTGAATGCATTTAGATATGTGCTAATATGTACATGCAAATGCAAACATCGTTTATAGTAACGGTACCAAGGGGTCTGTAATATCATGATGCAATTGTATCTAGAATGTTTTTGAAAGTCTCACAGAGGCTGCATTTATTTGATTAAAAATATAGTAAAATCAGAAATATTGTGAAATATTATTACTATTTAAAATAACTGTTTTCTGTTTGAATATATTTTAAAATGTAATTTATTCCTGTGATGAAAAGCAGAGTTTTCGGGATCATTACGCCAGTCTAATATGCTGATTTGCTGCTCAAGAAACATTTATTATTATCATCAATATTGAAAACAGTTGTGCTGCTTCATATTTTTGTGAAAAGTGTTGTGCAGTTCAAAAGAACAGCATTTATTTGAAATGATAAATGTCTTTACTGTCACTTTTGATCAATTTTACGCATCCTTACTCAATGAAAGTATTAATTTCTTTAGAAAAAAAAAACTTTTCAGCAGTATTGTATTAGCAAAGTACATACCTATGTATAAGTAGTATGTGATTTGGTATGCACCATTAATTTAGTCTGAAATCCAATGCTTTATTTTTTTGGAAAATGGTTTTATGATTCTTTAATGAATAGAAAGTTCAAAAGAACAGCATTTATTTGAAATAGAAATCGTATGTGACATTATGAATGTCTATACTGTCACTTTTGATCAATTTAATGAATCCTTGCTGAATAAAATAATTAGATAAATAAAAAGATGTAAATGTAAAAAGATTATGTATGTATTTAAAAAGAGCTCCACTTGCTGCACTGTAGTTGAAGCTTTGTTTACTGCATACTGCAAAAACAGCATGAATAATATGCCACTCTGAATAATATGCAGTGGTTTTATCTATTTCCAAACATCTCTTCTCTCTCTGACCCCCCACACTGTATGTACCCCTTCATCTTCTTGTTGAGAGCAGGCAAATACAGGGCAGGATAAAGCCCAGGCCTCTGGCAAAGACCCAACAGAGAGAGAGCGGAATTCGCAAGAGCCTGGAAAACAACAAAAGAAGAGAGATAATAAAAAAAAAAACTACATAGCAATTCCAACCGTACTTTATGTAGTCCTGAATACTGATTCAGCCTCTTCTGAGGAGCTGCTCTTTTATTCGTCTGTTTCAGAATGCGCCGTGTTGTTTACAGTGTGGCGGCAATAGAAGACGAGCTAAGAGCGACCTGAACCCCAGGAAGTCGGGGGTTAAAATAAGGTTAAGAGAATTAGACTCTTTGTTCAGTTCCATATTAATGGATTCATTGTCACCGGCTTGGCAGCACATCCACAGTTAAACACTTCTATTGATGGCCCCGAGGCCGAGTGTTAAGTAAATCTCTGCTAGCCGTCTTTTCTTTGAGCTGGCCGGCTTTACACTCAATAACCGGTGAAAGGGAAGACAGGCTTGCTCATATGATTATTCTGAATATGTCGTGATTTGAATGCTGGAGGAAGCAACTCATGGCGGGCTTTTGAGAGCGAGCGTCGTCAGGAAAGAGCCAAGCGCAAGACGGGTTTTAACAGGAATTGATAGACAATTGGAGATAATTTCCAAATGCACGTCTTTAGAAGGAGAATGAAATGCTAGTTTGTTCTGTGTGTTATCTTGAAAGGGCTTCCTGAAGAACTTATTTTGCTTGGCACTGATGTGTCTCCAGTTAAGGAATGCTAGCAATAAACCAGAGGTCGAATCTTATTCTTGATTCTTGGAAGAAATCGCTTGGCTGTCCACCTGTATGTTTTATTGGTTGTTAATCATTTAGCAGGCTTTTTTTTTTTTTATCCAAAACCAATTGCAATGACTTACTGTTGTTTGGGAAGCCGAAATATAATATGGTGACATATTATATCCAATATGGTCAGTCCCAAAAGTTCGTTGTTACTTTAGGATTATTTATGTACAATTACAGTATTTAATAATATTTTGAATTAGCTTTTATTTTTACATTTTCAATTTTCATTTTATTTTTAATATTTTAGTAATTTTGGTGCATGCTTTTATTTTTATTCATTTCTATTTCTAAATATTTCTATTTAGCTTTATTTTAATTTGAGCAATTTTAGTACTTCAAACTTATTTTATTTTTATAAATATAATTATTAAATATAATAATCTTTAGAAATTATTACATTTTGTAATAATTTGTTTTAGTAATTTGTTATGTGCTTTTGTCAATTTTATTCGTTTTTTATATTTCTATTTAGCTTTAATTTATTTATTTTTTCAATTTTAGTTTTAGTAACTTTAGTACTTTTTATTTTATTTTCAGTTGTTTCCAAGTTTACATTTCTGTTATTATTATTAATATTTTATTCCCAAGTAGGCTTGGCCCAGGAACTAAAAAGTTACTCATTCGGCTTTTAAGTAAAGTTGTAATTTCGAGTTACATGCACATGTTACATGACTTCCTGTTACATTATTCATTCCTGTAAAGCTGGATGTGTATTGTGAAAGCGCTAGACAAATAAATATGGCTTGACATTCAATTTAAGTGCTGTATTTTAATAATAATGTATATGACAGAACTAAAGCAAAGCGAATGACTCACTGTTTGTGGTTTGCTTTATGCAAACTAATTGTTTTGGATGCTTCTGTATTTTGTTTCCAACAAGTGCTAAACAAAGACAGAGATGAGATTTTACAGAGGATAAGTTCAACATCATTTTTGGTCCTGGAACGTGTTAATCCTTTATATACTAATAGCATTTATTAATATTTAGAATTAGCTTTTATTTTTACATTTTTAATTTTAATTGTAATTTTTGTTTAAATAAAAAAAATTGCTTTATTTTTAAACTTGACTTTAGTTTCAATTTTAGTCATTTTGTTTTTTAGCCTTGTTTTGATCTTAAATTAAAGTTCACATTTTAGTCATTTTGTTTTGTGCTTTTGTCTTTTTTATTAGTTTTGTAGCTTTATCTTATTTTCAGTATAAATTCATTTTGTTTTGTGCTTTTGTCATTTTTTTTAGTTTAAAAAAATAAGTATATTTAGTTTGAATTCATTTTTTATTTCAGTTTTCGTTTTAGTACGTAAACTTATTTAATTTCAGTTAGTTGCCAAGGCAACATTTCGGATTTTTGTCTATGTTTTTCTAAGTTTAGGTTTTTCATCTAATATATTTATTTTTTTGTTGTATTTCAGCTTTATTTCAATTAATGAAAACAATTTTGATAGTTTTAGTTAAAAATAACAACACTGGATGGGAACCATTTCTTGTTTCAGAATCATCAAAAGAAAACAAATTTCCATCAAGACACTTGAGCTAAGGTAAAATGGCATCAAATTTATTTAAATATATTTACAAATACATTCCAAAATGTGCTATTTCTTGAAACTCTATTTAAACTTCTTTGACACAAATCACTAGATCATTGAAATGCAGACCATTCCTCTGAATTTCTATTGTCACATACACAGAAATACATTGGTTTCCAGGGGGAATATTTTACTGTCACACCACAGGACGTTTCTTTAGTGCATTGGAGATCCGTCGTCAAAACAATTACACCTGAAACACCCAGTACCTGCTTTCAAGAGTTCAAGAAAAGAGTGCATTAACCGATCTTATCTAACCAATTCTGTCTTTCTTTGTCCACAGTGAGATGCTACTTGGGGTTTACAGAGGTTTCTTTGTGTTTGCAATATCTAAACATTACATTTCCTGTGCATGAATAATGCTCTGTGTGCATTGTTTAGAAGCCGTAAAAGAGTGAATTGGGTCCTCTCAGGTGCACAATGACATGCTGTTGTGAGGATGCTGCTAAGCTTTTTGTAACGTGGGACTCCATCCTCCGTCCGACCTGGACGAGAGATTGTGTGATCAAAATATTAGTGTCTGGAGACTCGGCGAATGTGTGGGCGTAAAGGTCCAAAGAAAACATTCTTTGAATTCTGGATGGGTTTTACTGGGGGCTCTGAGCGTCCATGTGGTTTTAATTTAGTTTGTCGAGCCCTCGTAGCATCTGTCGGTTACCGCACAGAGCGCTCACGGTCTGTTTGTGTGTGTTTTCTTAACGTCCCGCAGGTAGAGGAGGGTGGGAAGGCGTCTCTGTTGCAGCACCCCCTGCAGGCCGGAGACAAGGTGGTCATCATTAATGAGGTGGAGTTGAGCGGATGGAGGCAGGAGGCCATATCTCTCGTTAAAGGATCGTACAAAACGCTGCGGATCACGGTGCGAAGGTAAAACCAAGAGCTGCTCACTTCAGTCCCATAGTGCTTCTGGGGCTGTTAATTGTTTACATACACTACTGTCCAAAAGTTTGTGTTCTGTAAGATTGTTGAAAGAAGTCTCACCAAGCCTGAATTTTTTTTTTTTTAATCAAAGATACAGTAAAAACTATAAAATTGTGAAGTTATATTACAGTTTAAAATAGCTGTTTTCTGTTTGAATATACTTTAGAGCTCTGACCTCTATCCATTTCTCGTTTAGAAAGCTTACCAAGGCTGCATTTATTTGATCAAAAATACAATAAAAACAGTAATATTGTGAAATAGTTTTACTATGTAAAATATCTGTTTTCTGTTTGAATATATTTTAAAATGTAATTTATTTCTGTGATGCAAAGCTGAATTTTCAGCATCATTACTCCATTCTTCAGTGTCACATGATCCTTCAGAAATCATTCTCATATGCTGATTTGCTGCTAAAGAAACATTTCTTATTATCACCAGTGTTGAAAGTTGTGCTGCTTAATATTTTTGTAGAAACTGATACATTTTTCAAGGATAATTTGATGAATAGAAGATTCAAAAGAACAGCATTTATTTGAAATATTAATCTTTTGTAACATTATAAATGTCTTTAAATGTCACTTTTGACCAATTTAATGAATCTCTGATGAATAGTTAAAAAAAATAAAATAATAAAATGATTTGACCCCGAACTCCATGTCCATTTTAGGTTGTTTATAATAGTTTATTGACAGGATAGCAGAGCTGTAGATCCTGAAATAGCTTTTTTGGTTGATCATTTGTAAATGCGAGTCTTTCCACTTTCTCCTCACTCACACTTGTTGACCAGTGGCTTATTAAACAAATATAATGATGTTTGAACATAACATTTAGAAGAACATCAGCTGAATTCTGTATTAATGTGGCAAGTCGCTAACCATACTGTTTACATTAACTAGATATTTACACGTACCAGTGCAAAATCCTGTGCAGCAATGCTAGGATGAAGTAGGTGATTGCAATACAGTTGTTTTATTGCACATTCCTGTGCATTTTGTAGGGGTTTATGGTGTTGCTAAGTGGCTAATAAGTTGTTTTGCAACTATTGAACTTGTATTACATTTCTGGTGCAATAGAAACACCTTTGTAGAGTTAAATCACTGTAACACACAGCCTCTGGTGGCTTGTTGCTTTATTATATTAAAAATCCATAGTCTTGTACACTACCGTTTAAAAGTTGGAAGTCAGCAAGATTTTTCAAAGAATTCTGAAAAAAAGTTATCTCAGTTTCCACAAAAATATTAATCAGCCCAACTGTTTTCAACATTAATAATAAGAAGAAATATTTCTTGAGCAGCAAATCAGCATATTAGAATGATTTCTGAAGGATCATGTGACACTGAAGACTGGAATAATGATGCTGAAAATTCAGCTTTGCATCACAGGAATAAATTACATTTCATAATATATTCAAATAGAAAACATATATTTTTTAATTGTAATAATATTCCAGAATATCACTGATTTTACTGCATTTTTGATGAAATACATGCAGTCTTGGTGAGCAGAAGAGAAAAACATTTTATATATATATATATATATATATATATATATATATATATACACACACACACTAATTTTTTTTTTGTGTTGGCGCTTAGTCATGATGATATGATTTAGGATAAGAAATGCAAACATTTTTGCATGTTTGAGGTAATTCTGGTTAATTCTCACTTTATCTCAGTTTTATTAATCAGTTTTTTTTGCTTCATTTGTATGTGATCATGCGTGAGCGTGCCGGTCCTACAGTCTTGTCTAAACACAGTAGATGCACAAACTAACCTGGCACTGCCATTATCAACATGACTGCAGCAGAGTGGACGTGTTTAACACCACTACAAACAGAAAACACTTTCCTTCTGATAAAGACACACGTACGGGTCTAATACGATCTTACTGTTTGCTGGCATTGTTGACCCGGTAAAAGCGCGAGTTTTGTTTTGAGAGCACATGTGAGCGATGCTGGACACGCGATACGGGCCTGAGTTACAGGTGAAACTGGCAGGTGTGGAGCGTTGCCACGGTGACAGGTGGACATGTATGGCGAGACCTCAAGGGGGCGGGGCTGAGCACACACACACTCCGATATAGGTTACAGAGCACTGGCATCACTGATGACACAAAGACACCTGTGTTCTCACAGGAGTGAGCAGTGCCGTGTGGTTTACAGCATCGCATGTGTTGTGGTTTTAGTGCTGGAACACAATGATCTGTATTAGTTAAAAGCAGCGGTTCTGAAGAACTATTCAGCTGTCCGGGGCTAATAGTGATACTTGTTTGTGTTTTGAAAAACGTATATAAGGGTTAACATATTACATTTAGATATTTATTTTAATGTTTTTATATGATTTTCATTTTTAGGTGAACTATCGCTTGAAGTTTGTTTAATGCACATATGTAATTTAACTTAAAAAAAAAAAAGTTTGCACTCTGTCCTTTCAGGTTTCTATAGACTGCTGTGTAGGAGAGAAATCTAAAAAAAAAAAATGATAAAAGTGTTTAAGACTTAAGTTAACACATTGATTTGTATTTATTAAGACAAGCATCACAAACATCTGAACAAACTCTATTCTTTATTTCACAACAGAGCACCTCTTATTTTCTTCAGAAAATTAACTTTCTTGTTTTAAAATGTTTGATTAATCCTAATTAATTTTTTGATTAGTTGCAAAGACATTTAAATTATTTAATTTGCAGTTGCAATTACTGTATTTTAAGAGTTAATATTTATTTATTCATGTATTTACATGCTGTTATTTCTCAAAATAAAATAATTGCAACGGCATAGTAGAGAAACAAAAAATATGCCATTGTAATTATTTCAATAATTAACGGCATGTAAATATTATATTTAATATAATATAATAAATATTATATTTACATTATATATTTATTCATTCACTTGTTTATTTAAATGCTGTTATTTCCTAAAATACAATAATTGCAAATGCATTGTAGAGAAATCTAGAAAAATATGAAAAATATGCAGTTGCAATATGCAAAAAATAAACGGCTTGTAAATAAATTTGTATTTTATTTATTTGTAATAAAATATTATTTATTATATTTATACATAAATATGCATGGATGTATTTATGTATTTATTAATTAAAAATTGCAGCAAATAAATAAATAGGCTATATTTTCAAAATTAGTTTTGAGAGCGAGTGTGAGTCTTTGGCATGGGGTGACAATGACATCAGACACTGCAATTTACACAGTGAGGTGTGCACACACACAAACACACTCAAACACACACAAGGCCCCTCTCAGCCTGGATAATGCTTTTATAATGGGAGGCATTGTGTCACACCTGGTTGTGTGAGGACGGTGCTGGTGTCACGTTCACCCAAGACTGACTCCAGATCAGAGGTGAAAGAACACAGAGAAATGCGAAAAGAGAGGGATTGCCATTCCCAGGTACAGAGAGGGAAAGAAGGAAACAAGATGTTGGGAGGAGATATTGAGAGCAAACGCTAAATAAAGCTACAATCTGATTGGTTGCCTTTACAGTGTTTTTTAGTGTGGCGGGAAACATCATTGTTTCCAGGGTCATTCCAGTCTTCACCCCCAAAATATTAAAAATCCCTCATTATTTACTCACCCTGCTGTCGTTCCAAACCCGTTTGACTTTATTTCTTCTGTCCAGTGCAAAAGAAGATATTTTGAAGAATGTTTTGTCCATGCAATGAAAGCCAATGGTGTCAATTATTGTTTGGTTTCCAATGTTCTTCAAAATATCTTTAATTTGTGTTAGCAAAAGAAAGTAAGTCATACAGGTTTGGAAGGTTTCATAAGCTGCATTCAAGGCTGCATTTATTTGATCAAAAATACAGTAAAAACTGTAATATTGTGAAATATTATTACAGTTTCAAATAACTATTTTCTATTTGAATATATTTTGAATTGTAATGTATTCCTGTGATGCAAAGCTGAATTTTCAGCATCATTACTCCAGTCTTCAGTGTCACATGATCCTTCAGAAATCATCCTGATATTCTGATTTGCTGCTCAAGACACATTTCTGATTATTATCAACAGTTGTGCTGCTTCATATTTTTGTGGAATCCATGATACATTTTTTTTTCAGGATAATTTGTTGAATAGAAAGTTCAAAAAACAGCATTTATTTGAAATAGAACTCTTTTGTAGCATTATAAATGTCTTTACTGTCACTTTCAATCAATTTAATGCATCCTTGCTGTAAAGAACTACTAATATCTTTTTTTTTTTTTTTACTTGGGAAAGATAGTGTATACAGAATTCACAGAGCGCTGTCATAAAAGATCAGCGGTGAAACACAATCTGGTGAATGAGGATGTTTATTTACATAAGAGTCCAGAGGTCAACCATTAAGGAGGAAAAGAAAATACAAAAGAAAGCTACACACACACTTTTGGTGACTCCAGGTTTCCTTCAATTCCTTTTCCCGGGGTGGTTTTCTGTGTTGACTCTTGTTAAGCCTTGTGTGATCTCTCTTGCCTGTCATAGTCAAGTCTCAAAGACTCTGGTGGACCCAGCAACGGTTGCCGTGTGGCCTATGACATCATCGCCTTGCCATTCAGGAAGTGTTATACAAGAGAGAGGACTTGGGACTGTGTGTCAAAGGAGGAAGCTGTCGGAGATCGTCAGTTCTCGCAGATGTTAAAGTGATGTGCAACTGACATGGATAAAAAGATCAGGCGCTTCACGAACAGACCAGACTCTATAAACGTGGAGATCTTTAGTTACATCCAGCGGAAACGATCCCAAAGCCTCTTACAGCTGATTAACAACTTTTAAGAGCGTTGATTCAAGCTCACATGTAGGCTTGGAGAGATCAGGTCTCAGTCCAGATTAGATGAAGGATTCAGGGGCGTTTGCTGAATCAGACAGGTATGTAAAAGGTGAATGATTCACAGTGGCAGAAATAACCATTCGTGACTTAATGTGCTTGTGTTCGGGGTTTG